CGACAGTGGTCGCTCGTCGGCCCACCTCCTCGCGCCGTGGCGAGGGCCACGGCGGGAGGCTGCTGCCCGTGTGCGACGGCCTCCGCTCGGGGCCCCCAAAAAAGCCATGCGGTGGCGGGCCGCCTGGCGGCCTCGAGCTCCCGAGAGAGGCCTTCCCACGCGGTCCGTCACCCCACGGCCTTGGGGCCCTGCAGGCCCCCGGGTCGCCCCCGGGACATCCTCGGAGCACACCCCGAGAGCCCCACAGCCGTGCGGCCACCCCGAGAGCCCCGCGGACTCGCCACGCGGTGTGGTCACCTCGCCGTTTGGGGGGCTGGGCCTCCAGGGCCCCTCACCGGCCCCTTGGGCCGCCGACACTCGTGTGGCCTCCTCCTCCTCCTCATCGTCCTCCTCCTGCTCCTCCTCCTCCTCGTCCTCCTCCTCCTCCTCCTCCTCCTCCTCCTCGTCCTCGTCCTCGTCCTGTTCCTCCTGCTCCTCCTCCTCCTCCTCCTCCTCCTTCTCGTCCTCCTCCTCCTCCTCCTCCTCCTCCTGATAGCCGGCGGGCCGCGCCGGGACTACTGGCGCACATGGCAAGGCAGGGAAAGAAGAGGCAAGACATGGCAAGGAGGGCGGCCGCGGAGGAGGAGCGCGGGAGGAGGCCCGGGACCGTCCAGGGCACTGCTCGGGGCGAAAAGAAAGCTGGCCCCAAGAGCCTGGCCCCGGGGCAGGGAGGTCGGGGCCCTCGCGGGGGCCCAAGGCTGCGAAACCTGCGCGACGTCGGAGCTCTGGGTCAGCCCACCCGGGGGGGGGCCCAGAGTCGAATCGATGAGTCGGATCGGCGATCGAAATGTGTCGGGTCGGCGGAAACCGGCAGCCGAGTCGGGGGAAGTCGAATCGGCGGGCTAGTATGCATCCAGTAAGGGCTCGGAGTCCAATTCGGACTCCCAAGTCGAATCGAATCGGCATCGGAAGCCCTCGTCATCGGATCGGATCGAAGCGGAGGAGTCGAAACGAGCCCTGCGGGCGGGGGCGCCTGTGTGAGCAGCTGCCCGAGCTTCATGCCCTGCTCCTCGAAGCCCTGCATGACCTGGCCGGAAGAAGGGGGGGGGGCCGGGCGAGGCGGCGGCGGCCCTCCCGTGGCCACCTTCTTGTGGCGGCTCCACGGCTGGCTCCGCCTCGGCACACGGGCCAGGACGGGCCCTGGGATTGTGCTGCCCCTCCCTCTCAATCTTGCGGACCTTCCGCCCCGACCTTCCGCCTGATTTCCGACATGAGCCATGTGGGCGTCCTCAAACTGCGCAAGGTCCCCAGGAGTTTCGATGGATTCGTCCGCACCCGCCGCGGAGGGAAGGTGGAGGTGAAGGGGCTCCCATTGTACTTAAGGACCAAGTCCCAGACATATTGTCGAGCACCCAGAACAATACCAGAACAGCGTCGAACGAGTATCACCTCCCAGGGCCCGGACACGTGAAAACCCTCCAGTTTCGGTACGTTCTTGGTGCTCGAGATCCTTGCTGGTGGTCAAGGCTAAAGTAGGTTGAACCCTCATAAGCCAGGACGGCCCCTGGGAGAGGTCTGGGGGCCGACTCTGCTCGGATCCATGCCGGGCGAAAGAGCGCCCGTTGTCTCAGCCTGGCCCCTCTCCGACCTGGGGCGTCACGGTGTCCTGGGCGACGCTCATCGTGGGCGCCGCCTCGGGGATCTGCTGCGACGCGAACCGCTGCCGGATGATCTCCGCGGGCTCCTGCTCGGGACCAGCGCTCTCGAGGACCGCAAACCTGTGCTTCTTCTCCTTCGCGCTCGCGATGATGCTGGACAGGCTGGCTGCCGCGGGGTTATCGCCCTTCTGAGGCGTCATCACGACGAGGATGTTCGGAGGAGGGCCAACTGAGGGAACGGCGGCCCCCCTGCCCGGTCCAGATCCGCTCCGCATGCATCCCCGAACGCCTCCCGGGGCCCATCCTGACCTGTTCGTCGAGGCGGATCCGGCCGCTGCGACGCGGGGCCTCCGGGAGGCCCTGGATGAGGGCGACAAGCGCTGGGGAGGGCCGCCGTTGTCTCGACTGGCCTGCCCTCCGAGATCTCATTTCGGGCCAGGCACTCCTGGGGGAGGCAAAAGATACCGGCACCGGCACCGTCAGAACGCGCCCTGAGGGCGCGTTCCGACGAGGACCTCGAGCCGAATCCAGCCGCGGCGACGAGGAAAGCGTCGTCGTCCTCCTCCTCCGCCTCCTCCTCCTCCTCCTCCTCCTCCCTCCTCCTAAGCTCCGTGATGTCGTGGATGTCGACCGCGTTCAGGTCGTGCATCTCCACGACGGCGCTGGTGCTCGTGACCCCGTGCGCGAAGATCTGGGCCAGGCGCTCGCTCTGGCCGTAGTTGCTCACCCAGAAGATGGCCACCGAGGGGCCGAGCTTCTGGGTTGCCTCTATCGAGACCACCGCTGGGGTTACAGGGCAGTTTTAACCCATAGGATTTTAAGGTATTCATTTTTCTTTGAAAAAACATAAGATGTTTAATCCATGATTACTTTATGAACAAATTGATGCATGAACTCGTCATTGTTTTTAATGCTAAGTCCCTGCATTTTTTATACATGATCCGCACGCGGAGCATGTATGAAAAAACGGCACTGTAGTGGGCGTTTTCTTATTCGGCGTTTCGGTTTCGACATTGGGCGGAAGGGGGGGAAAGGGGGGAGCCTGGCTCCGGACCTCTGCTCCGTGCGACGGTTTGCAGCGTGGGTCCTGTGAGGGGAGACTCGGCCTGTTCGAAACGGGCGCCCCAAACAGCCAAGATCTACTCCAAGGGGGGCAGGGGGGGAGGGGGGGAGGGGGGGTTGGGGGGCCCGCGCCGATCGGCAGAACAACTTAAAAAAACAATCACTTATGTTGCCCCCACATCCCAGAAGGAATTTCGAGCACCCAGGACAGCATCGAAACGGTGCCGAGCGAGTATCGCCTCCCAGGGCCCAGGGCCCGACACGTGGAAACCCTCCAGTGTCGGTACTCTTCTTGGTTCTTGAAATTCTTCCTGGCGGTCAAAGGCTACAGTGGCTTGGAACATCATAACGCTGGGGTTGCTAAGGGGATAGGTGGGCTTACAAGCGGATGCTATCGTGGGATATGTCTGGCCTGATCTAGCTTGCAAGCGGGTTGCAAATTCCTGAAGTGGCTTGGGGAAGGCATATCTGGTATGAGTGGGCCGAGCCCACTCAGCGGAGTTTCCTCATCCCCACCAACTACCTACGGCACGTGTAGCCCACTGGTGAGCCAGGTCAGGCCAGAAATTACCCCCCTCAGCGTCCACTTCGAACCTCCACCCTCCCCTTAGCCACCCCAGCGATGATCTCAGTGGTATCAGGGGAGATGCAGAGACCCAAAGACCTCCGACGCCGTGGCTTCTCTGACTGGCCTCGCCTTCGGCCATCGAGGTCCGCTTCCGGGCCCCGGGGCCATCAGAAACGGGCCCAGGACGAAGCACTGCCCCCATGGGAATCGGGCGGGAACCCTGGAGCCGCGGACCCAGACCCCCCGACGCCATAACTCTTGTCGTGGCGTCTCCCCCCAGGGGGGAGACGCCACGACAAGAGTCATGCGCGGGGGATCAGAGCGCAGGGGCCGCCCCTGCGCTCTGATCCCCAGTCCCCACGACCGGTTTTCCGTCCCTGATCTCTTTCTGGCAGCCCCGAGGCTGGACGGTTTCCCCCGGGGCCGTAGGCGACCCGAGGAGGGGAGGGCGACGAGGGCGAGGAGGGGGGGGAGGAGGCGGAGGAGGAGGAGGAGGAGGAGGAGGAGGAGGAGGAGGAGGAGGAGGAGGGGTCGCCTAAGCCCTTCGGAGGAACCCTCCACCCGAGGCCCGGTATGGGGACGCTAAGGGGCCGAAGAGATGGAGAAAAACCTCCCGTCGCGACTTTCCTTCATGACTTGGGGGGGGGGAGGGCTGGGGATCGAAAACAAGACCACCTCGGCGGGGGTCGGGGACCACCGCCTCCGAGAACCCCTTCCCTTCGGAGGGGGGGGGGGGGGGCGACCGCCCCCCTTGCGGTGGCATGCTCAGCCGTGCCGCCGCCCGGGGGGGCGTCGGCTGCCCACGACGGGCTCCCGGTGGCGGCGGTGGCTGCCTCTCCTCGGGCCCAGCCAGGGGACCTGGAGCCAGGCATTGAAAAGTTGCGCATCCACAGCTTGAGAGTTCTTTTGGTTTCAGCGCTCCCTCCTCCGGCCTTGTCGCTCCAAGACTTGTACAGATCAACCCACTCCTCAGGGTCAGGCAACAGCGAGCCGGGAGTTCGGTTCGAGATCGGCTGCGCCGGGGTGCAACTGCCCCTCGCAGGCATTGGGCCGCAAATGTGACCGCTGGAATCTGAGAAGAGAAGCGGATTGGGCTGGCCAGAACCCATATCGGATCGGATCCATCGGGTCGAAACGGACGCTGCTCCTTGGTGTTATCGACGAGCATCGGGCCATGGCCAGTGGCGATGGTGTGGAAATCAAGGTCGGCAGTCTTCTTCAGCGCCGTGAGAACCGAACGGGCGTTCGGCTTCATGAGGCAGTCGTAATACAGCGCGTAGTGCGGCAGCAACTCCTTGACACCCTCGACGTCTGTGATATGCTCGGAGCAATAGTGCATGCCGAAAGCGTCGCAAGTGTACAGGAACTTTGTGCCGTGATCGAACGTGAACATCGTGTCTGGCCAATGCAGATTGGGAGCAATCACAAATTCCAGCTCGTGTCCCTTGCCCAAATCGATCTTAGCCCCATTGGCAACTACCTTTAGAAACAGACACATCGGCATCAACATAACGAGTCAGAGATCCGCGCGCGACTCTTAGATCGATGCTGGCCCCCCTGGCGGCGCCTGCCGCGTCGCCCCTTGCGCGCTCTGCGCGCTACTGAGGGAGGTCAAGCGCCGATCCACGAAATCCGCGCGGACCTCCGAAAGGTTTTATATTTGAGCAGATGTTTCTTCTTCGGGCCTCGCTGTTGAATGGCGTGAAGCACAAATTCTGCAAGAACTGAATGCAAACCTTGGATCCCACCACCACGATGCTTTCGTTCCCTGCTGCCGCGCACTTTTCCAAAATTCTCGGGACTAGCCCAGAGTGGTCCGGCTCAGTGTGGGAGACGATGAGGTAGCTGACCGTGGCGTAGTCGACCTCCTTGTCGAGAGCCTCGAAGTAGAGGTCATTGAACTTCTCGTGCGAAGCATCGACGATGGCCACCTTGTCCCCTTTAATGACGTACGAGTTGTACGTTGTCCCGTGAGTCAACGCGAACTCGATGTCAAATCGGTCCCTGTCTAGATCCATCGAGCGGATGGTGGTCGTGTCCTCGGCGACACCAGCGGTGACTGTCTTAAGTTTGTACTGTTTACCAGGCGTCAATCCCTCCCACGTCCTGATATCAGACCTTAGCGTCCGACTGGCCGTGCCGCCGACATAAATCCCATCATTTTCGTTTGATCGCCGCGAACATGGCCATGATACCGCCTCCGACGAATAGATTCACGAGATAAGGCCGAGCCGACGATTCAATCGGTTGTGTTGTAGCGGGCGGCTCTGCGATTGCCACGATCTCAATCCGAGACCGCCTCACCTGTCAGGCCCTCCTGTGAAGGAGGATAGAGAGGAGGACGATGAGGTTTCGGCCGAGAGAACTCCCCCCTCCCCCCGAGCGCAGGTTCTTTTGCCGTCCGATCCCATGCGCGCAGGCTTCCGCCACGGCCTGCCGCGCCATCGCGCACATGGACCGACGGTGTCGAGACCGCTCGATACAGCGGTTAGCCGTGCATCCTACGCGGCACGCCGAGGCAAGATCCACCCACAGGACTGGACGCGCACAGCCAGATTTTTTCCTGGCGGGAGCCAGACGTGGAAGGGATGGTCCAGACAGCAATGCATGTGTGACATCAGAACCAGACTCGCGCTGCACACCCCATCATGCGAGCAGACGCTCTCATGGTTTCTCCACTCTCGCCCTTCGCTCAAGCGTCGTGCCCTACAGAGACTTGGTAACTCCAGAGCAGTGCGTTCAAGCATTTCGGACCCAAGCACAGCGCGTGCGAGAGAGGAACGCAGCGGCCGTGGGCTCTGGCGCTGCTCAGGGGGCACGCGCGTGGCGAAGCATGGCCCAGCCCTCGCCGGCGAGCAGCAGCGGGTTCCAGCGCCACGCAGGGCGGCTGGCACGACCAGCCCGTGCGCGATGCGCAAACAGCTGCAGCCGGCTCCGAGGTGTCATCGGCTCCCCTCCCCTCCGCCCCCCCTCCCATTCACTAGTCAGCTCGGCTCCAACATGAAGGGGTCAAGCGCGGCAGCCAACGCCATCAACTACGACGCTGGGAGCAGCCTGCGCGGGAAAAGGACAACGCCTCCCAGCCACAGGAGGGAGCAGATGCTGGAGCAGAGATCGATCCCCACCTGCTCGACAGGCTGGAGGCCGACCTGCAGGCCCGCAGCCAGGTCACACGCAGCCGGCATCGCGGCACGCCGGTCCCAAGCAGGGCTCCGCCGACGGCGCCAGAGGACTGCGAAGATGAGCTCGACCCATCTCGGGGTGTGTGCTGCGATCTGCGCGTGCGCCAGGTGCGAGCAGCGGCGGCGGGCCACGGTACTGCCCGAGGCGACGTGCACGATAAAGATTCGGTGGTTCAAAGATGAGGTCCTGAGGGATGGGGCCCGAAGGATAGGAAGGGGTCCACGGGTGGATTTACTTTGTTTGAGGCAACTCGTCCTTAGGACCCCACCCCTCAGGACCCCATCTTTGAAACACCGATCTCCCGTCACTGGGAGCGCTGCGGTCAGCGCGCGAGAGAAGTGAGAGCATCTGCAGCGAGCGCTGGAGCTGCTCAGGGCGATGAGCGCGGCGAGGCAGAGCCCACCCCTTGTCGGCAGTCGAGCGCTGCGGCCGGCACGCGGGAGAGGCGCGGGCACTAGCAGAGGCGGCCTTGGCAGCGGGCAGTGGGGCGAGCTCGGGAGTCCAGACGCCATCAGCTACAGGCTGGGACCCACGTGCACGAAAGGAGGTGGCAGTGGCAGCACGCAGTGGTGCGAGCAGTACCGCCCAGAGGACATCAGATGCAGGCAGCGGTGCGAGAAGTGCAGTCCAGACGTCGGCCACGGACCACGGCCTAAGAACGCGAGAGGAGACAGTGGCAAGAGAAGAGGCGGTAGTGTTGCGAGAAGCGACGTGCAGATGTCATCGGCTACAGGCTGGAACCGGCGCGCGCGAGATCAGGCGGCAGGGGTAGCGGAGGTAGCTGGAAGAGGTGGAGTCCAGACGTCGTCAGCTACCAACTTGCTCAGAGTGCGAGAAGAGGCGGCAGCGGCCGCGGGCAGCGGTGCGAGGGTGGACTCCAGACGTCATCTGTTACCGGCTGGGACCCGCGTGTGCGAGAAGAGGCAGCAATGGCCGCGCGGTGGCGTGAGCAGGGACGTCCGGGCGGCTGTGGCAGAGGAGGCGGGCGGGCGGTGTCCCGGCGCCGTCAGCTACCAGCCGTGCACGAATTGAAGAAGGCGCGGCAGTGGCAAGCGTGGCAGGTCGCGCGACGATCTCGTAAACAGCGCCGCCGAGTACGACCTGTCTTCCCCCGTGGAGATCGACGATGGCCAGTGGCTGACGATCCTGGGGAACTTCGAGCAATCCCCCGAGCAGGTGGGCAAGGACTTCTGCCTGCGCCCCGGCGAACTGCCCACGACGATCGCGTTCATCCGCAGCGCAACGGCGGGGGCGCAGGCCCAGCGCGGGGGGCGCTGGAGCGGGCCCGCGGGCCTTCGATGCGTGAGAGCCCAGGCCAGCACGTAGTTTTTCGCTCCGGGTGTCCTGGGCTCCTTTTGCTCCGGGGCGTTTCCGCATGTGGTCCCCGGCTTCGGCTCGCAGGGTGCTCTGCGAGGGGGGCGACGACAATGTCCCGCTCCCTCGCTACTGGGGCGGGATCGAGGATGGTATGAGGTTCGGGGGTAGGCGGGGGCTGGCGGCCTGCTGCTGCTGAGGAGGAGGCGGGGAGGAAGGGGAGGAGGAGGAGGAGGAGGAGGAGGAGGAGGGGAGGAGGGCAGTAGGAGGAGGAGGAGGAGAAGGAGGAGAGAGAGGAGGAGGAGGAGGGGGAGGAGGCGGAGGAGGAGGAGGAGGAGGAGGAGAAAGAGGGGATGGCCTGCTGCTGCTCTCACACCCTCTATGGCGGATCGCGGGCGCGCGGTTTGGGGACGCTGCAGCGGTATTCGCTACAGCGAGCGCAGCAGGAGGAAGAGGAGGAAGAGGAGGAAGAGGATGAGGATGAGGATAAGGATGAGGAGGAGGAGGAGGAGGAGGAGGAGGAGGGTGGTGAAAAGAAGGAGGAAGAGGAGAGGAGGAAAGGGCGGCGGAAAGACGGAGAGGATGAGGATATGGATGGGGAGGAGAAGGAGGAGAGGCGGGGAGGAGGAGGAGGAGGAAGGAGGGGTCCAGCGTGCGGAAAGAGGAGGATGAAGTGGAGAAACGGGAGGTGGAGGAAGAGGAGGAGGAGGAGGAGGAGGAGGAGGAGGGAGGAGGAGGAGGGGGAGGAGGAGGAGGAAGAAGAGCCGATCTCCTGCCCTTTCTGCTTTCCCCCACGCCTGAACGGGATGGCTCACGCGCTCGTTCGTTCGCTCGCTCGCTCGCTCGCGCTTTCGCTCGCTCGCTAGACGGTTCGCTCGTTCGCTCGTTCGCCCGCTCGCCCGCTCCTTCGCTCGCCAGCCAGCTCGCTCGCTGGCCGCTCCGCCTGCCCGCTCGCTCGCCCTTCTCGCTCGCTCGCTCCCTCGTCCGCCCGTTCGCCCGTTCGCTCGCTCGATCCCTGCCGCGCGCGCGCGCGGGACTGCGGCGCGCTGGGCGCCGGGCTCCACCCCCTCTCCGCCGCGGGCAGCGGCCGCTACGCGCCCCGCCCTGCGCCGGCCTCCGCCCGCGGCGAGGTTGCCGCGCAGGGGCGCGGCGGCGGCCGTGCGGCCGGCGAAGGCGCCCGCGGCCTGGGAGGAGGGTGGGGAGGAGGGTGGGAGGAGGAGGAGGAGGAGGAGGAGGAGGAGGAGGAGGAGAAGGAGGAGGAGAGGCCGGGGGATTGTGGAGTCGCTGTGGGTTTGAGACGAAATGTTACGATATTTCAGTTTGTTCGTCATCATTATGCTGATGTTTCCTTTCTCGTTTTTTTTTTTTCTCTCTCTCTCTCTCTCTCAATCTCTCCCACTCCCATTCCCATTCCATTCCCATTCCCAATACAATTACCATTACCATTCCCATCCCAATTCCCATTCCCATTCACATTACCGTTACCATTACCATTACCTTTACCTTTATCTTTACCTTTACCTGTACCATTACCATTACCATTGCCATTACAATTGCCAGTGCCATTACCATTGCCATTACAATTGCCATTATCATTACCATTGCCATTGCCAGTGCCGTTGCCATTGCCATGGTATTGCCATTGCCAGTAGCCACCCCGTTACCATTACCGTTACCATTACCATTACCATTCCCATTACCATTACCATTCGCCACCACTATTACCATTTGCCATTACCATTAGCATTACCAACACAATTGCCATTACCATTACCATTACCGCTGCCATCACCATTACAAATCCCATTCCCATCATCATTGCCATTACCATTACCGTTACCAGTACCATTTCCATTACCATTGCAATTATCTTTCCCACTACCACTACCATTTCCATTCCCGTTCCAATTACTACTACGATTCCCATTCCCATTCCCATTCCCATTCCCATTACCATTACCATGACCATGACCATTACCATTGCCATGGCCATTGCTATTGCCATTGCCGTTGCCGTTGCCATTCCCACTACCATTGCCAATCGCTACCCCGTTATCGTCACCATTACCATTCCCAGTACCATTATCATTACCACTGTCATTGCCATTACCATTGCCATTGCCATTGCCATTGCCATTCGCCACTACCATTACCATTGCCATTCGCCACTACCATTACCATTACCATTGCCATTGCCCTTCGCCACTACCATTACCGTTGCCAGTACCATTACCATTCCGATTAACATTCCCATTCCCAATACCATTACCATTACCATTACCATTACAACTGCCATTGCCATTACCATTACCATTCCCTTTACCTCTACCTTTACATTTACCCTTACCCTTACCATTCCCATTTCCGTTACCACTACCACTGCCATTTCCATGCCCGTTCCCATTCCCATTCACATTCCCATTCCCGTTCCCATTCCCATTCACATTACCATTGCCATTACCATTACCATTGCCATTGCCATGGCCATTACCATTGCATTGCCATTGCCATTACCGTTGCCGTTGTCATTATCATTGCCATTGCCAATCGCCACCCCGTTACCACTATCATTACCGTTACCATTACCAGTACCATTACCATTACCTCTGTCATTACCATTACCATTCGTATTGCCATTGCCATTGCCATTGGCCACTACCATTACCATGGCCAGTACCATTTCCATTGCCATTCCCATTCTCATGACCATTACCATTACCATTACCATTATCACTATCATTTCCATTACCATTACCTTTACCTCTACCTTTACCTTTACCCTTACCCTTATCATTCCCATTTCCGTTACCACTACCACTACCATTTCCATTCCCGTTCCCGTTCCTATTCCCATTAACATTCCCATTCCCGTTCCCATTCCCATTGCCATTGCCATTATCATTACACTTACCATTGCCATTGCCATGGCCATTATCATTGTCATTGCCATTGCTAATCTCATTGCCATTGTCATTACCATTACCGCTGCCATTGTCATTGCCATTGCCAATCGCTACCCCCTTACCATTACCATTACCGTTACCATTACCAGTACCAGTACCATTACCTCTGTCATTACCATTACCATCACCATTGCCATTGCCATTCGTCACTACCATTACCATTGCCAGTACCATTTCCACTCCCATTCCCATTACCATGATACTACCGCTGCCATTACCATTAGAATTCCCATTCTCATTCCCATTCCCAATACTATTACAATTTCCAGAACCATTACCATTACCATTACCAGTGCCATTACCATTAACACTACCACCATCATTTCCATTCCCGTTCCCGTTCCCATTTCCACTTCCATTCCCATTACCATTACCATTACCACTGCCATTGCCAGTACCATTACCCTCAATATTACCATTACCTTTAACTCTACCTTTACCTCTACCCTTACCATTACCATTACCATTGCCATGGCCATTACCATTGCCATTGCCATTGCCATTGCCATTGTCATTGCTATTCCCATTGCCATTGCCATTGCCATTGCCATTGCCATTGCCGTTGCCATTGCCATTGTCATTGCCTCGCTACCCCGTTACCACTATCATTACCGTAACCATTATCAGTACCATTACCAGTACCATTACCATTACCATTACCATTACCATTGCCATTGCCATTGCCATTGCCATTCGAGGATTTCAGTAGGAATCATTCAGTGGAG